TTCCAATAAAAAATTAATAGATAAATAAAGTAGTTTGGCCAAACAGGTAGAACATGTTTGAATAATTAATAATTAATAATTTTTTATTATTATATATTTTAAATATAGATTAGTAGACTTGCATTAAGTTTTGATGTTTTATTATTTTATATAATTTTGTGCTTTAATATTATTTAAATAAATATTGATTATATTTCATATAGATTTATTTAGACTATTTGAACTAGAGGATGTATTTCATAGTCCATAATAACACAATTTTTTTTTTTTGCTATTTATATTATTTTAAATAATTGAAAAAATTTAAAACAAGAAGAAAAAAAATCATTTTTCTCCAAAACTTGAAAAATTGAAATCAAATTCGATTCAGATTCTATTATGTTTTTGGTGAGTTCAATTGATAAAAAAAAAAAAACTGAATTAAAATATTAAAAACCGAAACTAAAAAAATCAAATGCTCATCTTTGTGCATGAGTAATTCTTATTGTAGTTTGTGTGGTGGTTTGTTGTTAAATAAAATTACACCTTTTTTATTTTTTTTTGAAAAATTGCTTCTACATGATGTTAATATTTTTATATATAATTTAAAGATTAAAAGTGTATTTCAAATAATTTGTTTCAGATATTTATATAAATAATTGAAATAATTTTTTTTAAAAAAACCATTCAATTGTTGAAATACATTTTTTTTTTGCACTAACATCATCGATTATTCTATAAATAAATATATAAAAATTAAATGTACATACTTTTAAAAAAATAATTTTATCATCAACATTAAATAAGAATAAAAAATTATTGTTTTATATGTGAATTTTTGTACAAGTTTATACATTAATTTTCACTTAATTTTTTTTAATACAATCTTATGAAAAATTATTTTTAAAGCATATTTTTTAATTTTGAATTAAATTTTAAATTTAGATATTACAAATTTAATTTAATAATCCATGTATAAAGAAGAACAAATTATGTTCTGTTTAAATAGAAAGTTATAAAAAAATAAAAAAGAATGATTTAAATATAAGATTTTGATTAAAGAATTTAAAAATATAGTTTTTTTTTTCCTTTTTAACCTTTAATTCGATATATTTTAATACATTTATAATATAATATAGATTATTAAATTAAAATAATTTTATTTTATTTGATCTGTAAAGTAACTAGTTGAAATCTAAACCAAATTGTGGAGTTTATCATCTTATGCAATGCAATTTTGATAGTAATTTTCTATTTCAATTGGAAAATCCAATATGATGTTCGGGGTGGGTGGTAAATATTGTCAAACATTCAATCATTTTGGCAAAGAAGTTCTGAGTATCTAAAGTTGAGTGCTTAAATTATTTAAAACTTTCCTTCGTTGATTTCTTATTACAGAAATTCACACTACAACCTATAAAGATATTTTTTCTGTCCTGCCCACTATTTGAGTCGACCCTTTGCTTCAGAATTTGAATTTCATGTTCACTTTCCATGACAAGTCATTGTGGAGCACATTCAGTTGCAATTATCTTCTGCCTATCGATGGCAAGGATACCCAACAAAAGAGAAGAACAAGTACTTCCTGATCAGCCCAAAGAAGAAGGGAAAGGAAAAGGACTCCAAGTGGTCCGCACTGTAACAAAAAAAAAAGCGACCAATTAGTTCCTACTAGTTGTCATAACCAAAAACGTGTCTTACCCTTATTTATTTATTTTATTTCACAATTTTTTTTTTTTACAAATTTTACTTTACATGTGCACGTTTATTATTATTATTATTGTTATTGTTATTGTTATTGTCATTGGTTTCGGCCTTACTTAAATTTTTAGATTTTTAGTTTAATTTATCCTTTATTTTATCAAGAAAAAATCAATAATCAAAATATATGAAAAAAAAGGAAAACATAAATTTTTAGGTTAATTTCTTTTTTATTTTGTTACATTACCGAGTGTGCAATTGAACAAAATTAAAAGAACAGAAACTGAAATCATGGAACATAGGGATGCAATTGAACAGAATTAAAAAAGAACAGAAACCAAAATCAACAAATGCAGGGATGTAATTGCAAACAATTGAAGAATGAGAACCATTGGGACACTTTAAAAACGTTGCGTTTTGAAGATATTGTTCCCTATGTTCTTCAGCCAAAAAACACGTTGTTCCCGCAGCATTTGTTTCTTCATCATTTTTGGCCAGAAGTGACTTTTGTCAGGCAGCCCCAGCTGGCTTTGTTCTTCTCTTCCTTCTCAACAGGCTGGCCCTGTCCTCCATCTCTTTAATCCACGCCGACCTGCTTGCTGTGAAAACAAGAATGACAGCAGCAGCAACACAAACAGAGAAGATGACAAGGGAAGCGTCTGTGGTTTTTGGTTTTAATGGGGAAGGGTCAAGAGGAATTGGCAATGATCGAAAGGCTGAGGAAGGAGGCGCATTGAAGATAAATAGGGGGCCTGAGGAGTCCGTGAGAGGAGAGGAGAAAAAGGTTTTAGGTCTCTGGTTTCTAGTCTGCAAAAATCTTGAAGTTTTAAGGTTTTTATAAGTTATCATTTAGCTTTGGTAGTGTGAAAAATACAGAATAAAACAATAAAGGAGAGGGGAGAGACTGGAACAAGGAAAATAGCATAAAATGCCTTCTGTTTTTTCAAAATTTGGGACAGAGGAGGTTAGGGAGGAAGAGACTAGCCTAAGGTTCTCTGGTTTTCTGTGAGGAATACATTGAAGCCTTAAGAAGGAGCTTAAACCAGAAGGGCAACTAACATTCAGAGGTCCTCGTTGAGTTTGGGACATTATACCAGTTCTCGGACCAGGTAAGGTTAAGGCTCTTCCCTATCCTATTATTCTGCCCTTTTCATTCATCATAATGTAAAGGCCATTAGTGTTCGTCCTTTTTGAGCTCAATCCATGACTCTTTGTCTACTTATTGTTGCATTGGAACTGTGATCCTTCTGTTATGGTGATTGATTTTTCTGTTGAGAAAACAAATTAGTGTTTTTGGCCTTCCTTGGCTGCGTGAATATCAGTTTGGATTTAACGATGAAGTTTTTTAAGTGTTACTTCTTTTGCAAATTAGTTCATGAAGCCTGTTGCGATAGTTAGTCTGCTAATGAGTAGGATAAGGAGGAACTGTAGTATAGAAAATAAGAAGAAGAAGAATAGAAAGCTGCAGTTTAGGGGGAAGGAAGAAGAAGAAAACGAACCTGGGCTGAAGAGGAAGAAGAGAAGAGAAGGAACTTGGGCTGGGGAAAGAAAGAAGAAAAACCGGCTTGGGTTTTACTTAGATAGGACTGGGCTATAACTTGGGCTGGGCTACAGACCATATGAACCCAGGCCTAGGCGGGCTTAAAGTGGTTGGGCTGTCTGTTGAGTTCTGACCAGAGAAAAAAGAGACATATGGGCTGAGCTATGAGTTGGGCCAGAAAAATAAAAAAGAGCTCATGGGCCTATTAAGGTGGGTTTTGGCCCTCAATAATTTAGGGCCATGCTTTATTTGGGCCCAAGATCTGGCCCAATATGCTTCTAAATAATTAGATTTTTATTTTGAGAATTTATTTTCAGATTTTAATTATTTCGACAAGGCTGTCTTAATCATTTTGACCTGAATTTTTTATGTGTTACATACAGTTATCCTTAGTTTATTCTTAAAATCTCATAATTTTTTAAGTTCATTTACTATTTATTTGAAATTTATTTAATTTTCTATCTAATTGTTAATTGTCTAAAAAATTAATTTAGCTTATTTTTTAATTTTATTTTAATCTGAAAATTTTAGGGTATGATTGTATGCTTGTATATAAGTTGTGCGTAAAGTTTCATAATTTTTTGAGTTAATCTTATATTTATTTAGTATTTATCATGATTTTATGATCCATTTAATTATTAATGTGTTTTATCTTAGGAGTTATTATTATTATTATTTTTTTATTCAAGTACCTCTACCATTTTAATATGAAATTCCTTGGATTATATATACATTTTTTGTCCATATATTATGTTTCAATTTTGCGATTTCTTTTAATTTCCTTTACCATTTAATTGTAATTTATTGTGTCCTAGTTATTATGTAATTAATGTTACGGTGGATCGTCAAGTCTTAGATTTTAGAAACTAGTGATGATCCTCCATCAAATTCATCATACCATAAAAAAATATAAAATATAAAAAACAAATTTTAAGTTGATATGATGAGTCTCATGATTAATAAAGACGGACGTTATTCTCGACATCAATTAAAAAAAATATAGATCAAGCATCCTTAGTAATTATGTCATTTTTGGACATATCGGTTATTTCAAAACTCAAATAGATAGATTTATGGGATCCTATAAGTCCACGGTTGAAAATTTTTGGAAAGTGATTTTGGGAAGATTTTTTCGATAAGATTACCATTACTTCACTCACTACAAGAATTGTTCTTTGCTTAGTTTGTTCTTCATACCTTTCCTTAATTTGTATTTGCTTAGGCAGAAATAATTATGATGAATTATGCAAGTATAAAACGGCAATTAAGAAAAACTTCACAACCATTTAATGTCTTGTTGATTTTGCTGTCCACTTCAAGATGATTCTATCATTGTTATTCTGTAATACTTAAAACAAAATATTACAGAAACAAACAAAATTTATGAAAAATAATTAGCTTTAGAGAAAAGGAAATAAAAACAAGTAAATTTTCGCTTTTTTTTTTTTTTTTTTCAGATTGAAATATATATAGTACCCTATCGAAGTCAATACTAAATAATAGATAATTATCATGTAATGGTTAGAACATCAAATTGGAAAGATAAGTCTGATTAATGAAAACTATGCATTTCGCATTTGTTTAGCCTCCCAAACTAAGTCAAGCATTGTTTTAATAACGCTCTTCAGCCAAAGGCAGAACTAGGAATTTTGAAAATTGGGACCGTGGCTCCACCCAGTACCCCTTAATTTCCGCCCGTCTTCAGCCCAGGACAAAATCCTCGCAAGCTGGGGGATGGAAGAAAATACTATTACCATCTTATCTAACAGAAAGGGTTCGTTTACCAGTTACGAAGTCTGATCATGGGATAGATATTGAGATCCACCGCAATCTTGTTCAAATATGCAAGAATCTTATCTTCATTCTTCAAATCATCACTGAGAGCAATCTGCTCTTGTTCCGTGAGTTCCTTATCGTCGAAGAAATTTCTCATAGCAGTGAAATACATGTGAACAGCTTTTATAGCGAGGTTTAATTGATTTAGAATCACATCCTTGGTGCTCACTAAAGCACACTTTGTAAGAATATCGTAGCAACATTGGAAACATTTGTAGCTAACAAAATTTCCCATCTCATCACAAACACAACACTTGTATTAATTGGTAGTTAAATGAGTGAGGCATGATGGTAAAGTTGAGAGGATGTTCGTGATCTATGCACTTATATATGATTGGTAAGTATTCGTCTTTGATGTTGGCTCGGAGGAGGCAATAAGGATAACTCGATCTGAAATTATCACAAAATTGACAACCATGTATCTTTGGTGAGGAGAAATGATCATATTTCATGGGTGGATTTTTCATCAAAAATTGATGCTGATTTGTTTCAAGAAGCTTTATCATCGTTGGTGACCCGGCACAATCTTTATGAAGGATGAAGTCATCACATTCTACACAATGGTACTTTGCTCCCGAAATTATCGACTTTTCACACTTGGTGCATCTCAACTTTTTTTTTTTCTTTGGCTTCGTACAAAACTCAAATTCATGAACATGCATATCTCCCAAATCCCTTCTATCATCATCCGACGTAAGAGTAACAAACACATAATCTCTCGTGTGAACTTTTTGAATTGATCTTCACCCTTAATTTGGGTGAATCTCAACTCTTAATTAATTTTTCAATTATTCATTTGCATTTGTCCTAATTTTTAGCCATTTATTCACCTTTTTATTTAACCCTTCTACCTTGTTTATTTTTGGCCAAACTTTTTACTGCAGGTTACCTCATTAATTGCTTCCAGCGGGCAAAATTTGGGAGAAAAATGACAAGTTTTGATCCTATAAGTTTCTAAACTTTCTCATAGCCTATTCTTTCTTAAATCCCTCTTTTATGCAAAAAAATCACTTCTAATCCTCCCTTTTCAGTGTCTAGGACTAATTTTTTGACCCTTAACATTCCTACATAATTTAATTTGGATTATTAGACTTTTAATTTTATGCAATCGAGTCCTTAATTTTAAGCAATTTAGTCCCTACTTTTAAAATTCCATTCTATACTATTCCAAAATCCAATTTCTTTCCATAATAAATTCAAAAATTACTAAAGAGGATTTAACCTAAAATTTCTTAATTTTTGGATCTCATTTAAGCCTCTAAATTAATTATTTAGCATGAAAATTTGACTATTCCTTATAGAAAATATTCCTTGTACTTAATAAAATTAATTTAAATTTACTAAGTATTCCTACACCTCCCATATGATTTTTCCATGCCCTTAAAAAATTCCTCGTATTTTTAAGATACCTAATTTAATCCTTTATCTCTAAAAACACTATTCTTACACATAGAAAATTCAATAAAATATTCAATAAAATATTCAAAACACATAGAAAAATTCATAAAATCACATAAAATAATCTAACACCCCTCTAAAAATATTCTAGGCAAATAAAATATTTTTCATGCATAAAAAATATAATTTAATTAATTATTTCATACAAAAACTACTATTCACACACCGAAAATCACTAAAATATTTTTCAAGCATGGAAAAACTATTTTAACCACTCTAAATATCTCTCTTAGCTTTCAATAATTATTTATCCTTCTCAAGATATTTTTCACATAGGTTTTAATATTAAATTTTTATTTTAGTTGGTACTAGCCATTACAATTTCGTACCATGATGACTCATGCTGAGACCTAGATTCATCTTTGTTAACATTCTGCTGATCCTATGCTATCTCATGTACTTTTTTTAAAAAATGATTCACTAAGTAAAAGTTTATTACACGCTTGTCTAATTAAGAGCGTATTGAATCTTTTTTTTTTTATCCCATAAGTAAGACTATATATATATATAATCATTTTTTTAAAATAAAATTTGGTATTGTTTCTTAACTTACACACACACAAGTAGTAGAATATCTTCAAAACATGCTTAAGCTTTTGTCTATCATTGAATTGTCTTTTAGATCAAAATTGTCCAAATTTAGTATTACTAAAGAATAATTATGGTTAATTATTTATAAATAGTGAAAATTAAATCTTAATTTTAACCAAATCAAGATATTTCTCTTACTATTAAACCATATCTTTTAGCGATAATGTTTCCTACCTTTACTTATATTTGAATAGTTCATAAAGAAAAAATTTCGTTGCGCACTTATTCAACATGAAATGCATGGAATTTTTTTTCATGCTACGAGTATGGTATAATTGTGGCAAAATTGAAAGAGATCAAGGTGGTCATGATGTTGGGGTTGGACATGCTCCTACAGTCAGCGTTGACACCAAATAACCCTTTCTTGTGGAAGAGTTGGCTAGTCTCATGCTACAAGCAGCAAGGAGGCATGAAAGCATAGATTATGTCAAGCCTAAAGGTGATGTGCTTGCTGCTCCTCCATCATATCATAATAAAAGTGATGAAAGAGAGCTGGTAGATATGCATGTTCATGAATTTGAGTTTTGTATGGAGGCAAAGAAAGAAAAGCCGAGATGCACCAAGTGCGAAAAATTGATAATTTCAGGACCAACCTATCATTGTGTAGAATACGATGACTTCATCCTTCACAAATATTGTGCCGAGTCACCAACCGTGGGAAAGCTTCGTAAAACGAACAACATCAATTTCCGATGAAAATTCCACCCGAGAAATATGATTTCTCCTCGCGGATAGACGGATGCCAATTTTGTCATGAATTCGGATCGAGCTGTCCCGATTGCCTTCTCCGAGCCAATATCAAAGGTGAATACTTACCAACTATATGCAAGTATGGAAATCACAAGCATCCTCTCAACTTTATCATCATGCCATTCTCATTTAACTACCAATACAAGTGTTATGCATGTGATGAGATGGGAAAATTTGTTAGCTACAAATGTTTCCAATGTAACTACGATCTCCATACCAAGTGTGTGATTCTACATCCTAGAAACCTTGGTAGGGACCATTTTCACCGACGTTCTCATTTATTTAAGTATTTGCCTGATCGTCATACCGACTTTGCTTTAATGACCACTAAGGATGTGATTCTACATATAGACAACGTTAGAGCAGCTGTTAAAAGTATGTACATTGATCTGAAAGACAGGTTAGACACTCGCCTCAACAGACGAGATAAGGCTTATATCCGTTTTTGTTTGAAGTTTTATGGTAGAATTGAAGAGTTGGACAGAATTTCGAAGGACCTCGGTGCCTTCTCCATCGACGAAACTCTTCCACTACAACATGATAACTATCTCAAAAGACGAATGGAACTTTTGAACGAAATTCTTGAAGAGTTGTACACAAACAATTTAATGTATTAGAAGTTTGAAAAAAAAAAGACTTTTGTTTGTAGCATAGAATGATCATGACAGAGTTGCTCGACGAATATGATAGTACGTACAAGTCATTAGTCCACCTTCCATTTTGAAGATGGAAAATAATTCATGAAATTCTTTCAAGCTTGTAATTTTTATTTAATTTGTTGGAAAGTAACAATATTCAGTCCTTGCTAGCCTACAATATAGTGCAGGATAAACATTTATTACTGACTTCATACTTGCATCTCGACCGTAAAGACTTCCTATCTTCATAGGCTCGCTGTATCCAGCAAAGAACAAATAGTCGATTGGTTGATTACAGTCCTGAGAGAATTAAGTGAGAATTCAGGAAAAATGATGAGGGCTACACCAGTACATATATACTCCTACCAATTTCTTGTTTCTTCATCAGCTGAGTGAGGAGAGTGATGTTTTAATGAGTTTCTGTGCACTTCTCAACTCAAAGGTTTTATTTAAGTTACATTAACCACCAGAAAAAGTACCAGTAAATGATCAATGTTGTTTGAAACTAAAATTTAAAAATCGCTCAAGTAAATGTCAAGGTTACTTTCAGGTGGCCTACATGTAGGAAACTGTGGTTTTTAGTTACTTGGCATTTTTTCTTTTCATTCATCAAAGCTTTTTATCTTAATCAATATTAAACAACAATTTTGGGGGCCAGAATTTCTGAAAACTTTGAGGGTCGATCCAGAAATAAGACTGTTTTAGACTAGTTAAGTTCATGAACTCTGCCTCTCATGAACTTTTCATGGCCTTCGATTGCCAAATTGAAATATGGTAATAGCAGAACATTAATGTAATAGCAAGTTAGTAACATATTGTGTCTTCTTATGTCCTGTTCTATATGGTGACAACATTATGCAGCTTCAGACAATTACATTAGCCATCGAAACAACATTTTACTGGAAATGGTAATTGTGTCTCAAATCTCCATCACGAGGTCTTCTGCATGGTTCCGTCTTTTAATGTATGCTGCAAAAATGAGAACGGAAAATATAATGACCAGTTACTTAACTAGGAGTACCATAAAGCTATTATGTGAAAATCTTTAGGAACCATGCTTGTAGGCTTTAACTGAGAAATGGGAAAACTGAGATGTGTGTTGCACTTGACAGGAAGATCGCTGATACGGTCGGCACTTAACCTCATTGGGATCGTCCTTGGCACTATTTCAATGCACTCACAGATAGCTCTCGGCCCCATTCCATGCTTAGCTAATTCATTGAAGTCGTATACCCGCTAACAACATTGGCTCGTAGGAAAATCGTTTGAACCTATGAGAAAATCCATACGGTAAGGGAAGTTATCAAAAATGACCTGACATTGATCCGGGTCCACGTCGAAATCAGCCATAGCTTGTTCAGAAATTGCAAGTATCAGAAACCCAACAATGCGAGCCATTAATTCTGCTTTGAGCAAGACTGTCTCGAGTAGTATAGTTGTGGTTCTTGTGAAGAAAGGGCTATATATGAGAGTTCAGAGTTTATGAAGAGATTAGATGGTCCTTTCCACCTGTAAAACCAATAAGAAGTTTAGTAGGCTTCATTGTCATGTAATTGTGATGGTTTTTTAGTAGGAAGGTGGACAAAACTTTTGTCGTAAGTCACTTGTTATCTGCTCCTTTTCATTCATTTGGTGCTTCCATGAGGAGATTGAGATTTTCAGTCAGCTTTTTCACTCAAGCAAACTAACTTTGGTGGCCAAGTGCCAACATCCCCAAAAACTTTGAGGATTGATCCAGAAATATGACTGTTTCATGTCAAAAAAAAAAAAAATGGAATCAAACTTTCAGTAATTCAAAATTTTATTAGGACCTAGCAAATTAGTCCTTAGACTGCTTAATGAAATATAAATCATTTCACATCAATTTTATACTAGTAACTCAGTCAAGAAATATAGCTGTTCTGGGCTCCGGTAAAACTCTTCAACCTCTCAGCTGAGCTCTTCTTGTTTGAATGAACTTTCAAGTTCTCCATAAGTTCTGCACGGTTTCACATTAATATCTTCCTTGATCACAGCCTTCAAAACCTTACGTGTTTCTTGATCCATTAAGAGCTGCAGAATTCACGGAAGGACTAAATGATCCTTAAGACCATCGCAGGAGGTTGTGGATTTCAGAACATCCTTTCCCCACCAGCTGGGAATTATTTTTCGGCTATAAGGTATCGTCTACTTTGTCTGCAGACCACATAGTTTTAATGGAAATTTCAACATTTTTAAATATTTCCATTATGTGTAAGAATCATAGATACCATATCTATCGTACATATTGTTGATTAGCCCTAGGAAGCAGTAATAGCCTGCGCTGATTCAAGAATATGCTCGCATATATATGAATCTTTCACTCTCTCAATCCTTCAGAACACACCATATTTTGGATTCTGGTTATTTGTAGCTGTGAAAAAACTATGGCAATGGCAGAACATTAATTTAATCGGAAGTTAGCAACATATGATGTTTTCTTATGTCCTGTTGTCTATAACGAAAACGTTAAGCTGCTGCAGACAAGCTCATTAGCCACCGACATAACATTTTACTGGCTTTGCACTGAGGCCTCAAATCTCGATCGCGAGGTCATCTGCATAGTAAAGTCTTTCAATTTAGACTGCAAAAACAAGACAGAAAAAGATTAGTAAATTACCGGTTCCTTATTCACACTAAGAAGCAGAAAGACAAATAATTTTACTTGGAGCAATTCATTCTGATAGAAATTGGGAAGCTATTATGTGCATAGCACATGTCTAGTATAGCATCGATTCTGGAAACAAGGAAAGGAGGACCATCTGTTGCCCCGATCTCCTCGATGCAAAAACAGATCCTTTGTGCAGCATGATTCTGCTTCGATATATCATTGAGTTCCAGGTAACCCATGCAACATTCATGAGTTGGTTCTTCTAACAGACCCTGCAGGATAAATCCCAAGCATGGCTTGAAGTTTGGTACCACATCCATACATTCTTTAGAGAAGTCCCATAGTTTCCGAGGCATAGACATTTCTCATTTCTGGTTATTTTGTCTATGGTTAAATAAAGTTTTCCCCAGTCCAGTCAAGATAAGGCTACTTAGGTCTCAACTTTACAAATTTCAGAACTCCAAAACATGTGTTTATCGTTCTCCTTAAATCACTGATAGTTGTTAAGATACCCTCACTGATGGTAATTCTATATCTATTTTGACAGTTTTGGTTGGCCTAATTGCCATGAAATTGACATGCCCCATATTTCCTGAGAATTGTCCCAGTATTCTTGAGAAATTATACATGTCCCTGGAAAAATGAAAATGATCCGAATCGCAAGGCATTATATAAAACTAACTATAGACAAAACCATGACTAAAAGGGTAAGCTTAGGAGATGTAGTTCACTGATCAGTGTTCCTGAAGCAAGTCATAGAATTTGTCATAACAGGTCTGCCCCCTTTAAGAGATGCAACGTACAGACTGTTATAGCCTTTTGTTCCCTTATTTTTACAGCATAAAATTTTCTTCAAATTGTCATTTGAAACTCAACTTTTAGACTTCAGAAATTAACTCTCACATAGGCACATGCATTTTGTTGTATGAACCATCATGGCAGGGTTGCAGGAATTTAACTTTCCGTTCATCGACAAGTCCATAATACGGTTGAACAGCAGAAACCAGTTAAGTGATTTAGGTTCCATTAAAAAAATAAATAAACCTCACAAATTATCTGTTTGTTGATATTTTGAATTTTTTTCGCAACAAACCTTAAGTGTTTGTCTATGAATTCAAAAGGAAAAGGGACTTTAGGCTTTAGGCTTTAGTCTCAAGATAAAAAAAAGCTAGTTTAATAATAGTCCCACCGATCCAAGAAAATAAGGGAAAAATTTTAAGTTTCTAAAGCTATACACAGTTTGTTAACGTCCATTCAAGAGGCAATAAAACAAATGCTTCATAAGTAAACCTCAAATTAACCACTAAAAATTATCCAATTCTCAAATTTCATTACAAAACAAATATTATTTTCAATTAGGTCCCTAAAGTTTTTTAAAAAATTTCAAATTCGGTCAACCTCATTTTCATGTCCATTCGCATTTTCCTTCGAATTTTATTTAAAAAAATGGCATCGTGTTTTATAGTGTAAAATATGCATAATAAATGTAAGATTTTTTTTTTTTCCTTTTAAAGTTGTCATAAAGAATGGTTGAGTAGTAAGAGTTTTGGGTTTCTAAATGGAAGTTTCTGATTCAAATTCCACTTCACTAATCGGACTTCTGCGATCTTTGTTTCTCAATAGTAAACTTTATTTCAGAAAGAAAAAAAGATAGATAAAGAGAGAAAAGATTGTTTAGTAGAAATTAATAGGGGAGCATATTAATTTCATTATACCTAATTTGTTTGATGGAAAATAAAGTCATTTTAATTATATGTTTCACGTTGGATAAGCGTGCAACAAACTTTTGATTTATGAACTATACAAAGAAAACTAAAAGAAATAAATAATACAAAATTGAGGAAAAAAAAATTGATGGAATGTGTATATATTCAATTATACTTAATTTATTTGCAGGATGGAAAAAAAAAAGAAGAAGAAGAAGAAGAAGAGATTCTATGCATTTCTCGTTGAACAAGTACGCAACAGACTTATTTGGTGATAAATTCAAGTGTTAATTAATTATTTTTATGTTGAAATTGGTCATGAAATGGTTATGGTGGAATTCGGCCTAATGGCCATTTCATTGATTCTTGATGTACATTCATGCATTTCACGAAAAGGATATAATCATGTTCATGTTTTTTAAAGATAAAATCAAGTGCATGAATTTTCAAGAAAATGCATAGGCATGTTCCAAATCACAGTCACGGGCTCAATCATACACACAAAGAGAATGATCAATTCTTTATGGACGTCATATTCATAAGTTCAATCATGATTCACAAAGGAGAATGATCTAGTATATACTCCTTGCGTCATAGGCTTCACAGGGGATATATTTAGTGCTTTTCATGGATAGCCAAATATATTTGGGAGGGTGCGTCCGATCATAGAAAACATATTTTAAAGTCATGAAAATGTATTTCATAGCATCATGCATATATGATTATACTTACCGAGCATAAGCTCATCAAATTATCTTATGACGTAGGTATTCAAGAACATACGAGGACTCACCGTGAAGTTGATCATGAAGCCGGAAAGAAAAGAGCTAAAAGAGCTTGCCAAAGTATATTGTAAATTAGTACAGGTTTAAGCTATTCCATTCTTAATGATTTAGGTATCAATGCCAATTTAGAATATGAATGAATAAAATATTTTAAGAAATTATAAATTAATTAAATGGTTTGGCGGGTTAATCCATGATTAGACAAGGAAATTAATTTAATCAATGAAAATTGGAAATTAAGGTAATAAGCGTTAAAGATTTAAATAAATGAATGTTTTATAATTGTTATGGATTAATTAAATGAATCACCATTTCCTAAGTCAAAATAGTTTCCAAAGGGTTAAATGAATTATTTAGCCACCAATGAACTAAAGTAATTTTTAATCATGTTAATTAATCGAAATGGATATTTTGAATGATAGTTAATTAATAAAATTCTAAATAATTAATTTTAGTTAAATTCAAATTTCCAAGAAAATAATAGGAATTAAGCTTAATTAACTTATTAAATGGACAAGGTTAGGAATTGATTATTTCACATTGTTAATTAAATTAATTATTCAAGATGTATAAAAAAATTATTTAAAGAAAATTAAAGGAGTAAATAGCTTAATTTTAATTCAAAGTATTATCTAAAAATAATTAAGTTAGATTTTTCAAGTATGAGTTGATTGACATGCTTATGTGTATTATATGTACACATTTATTGGAAGAATTATTAGCAAGTTGTTAAGTTATAATGATTATGTTCATTAAATGAATATAGGTTGGAAAAAATTTATACTTAGATTTTTAATAAAAACGGCCCTAAATATGAAAATTGAATAAGCTTCCGTAGTGATTAATAACTATTTAAGCCGAGAATGATACAAAACTTAATGTCTCATGTTCATTGTACTAAAAATGTGATGAGGGTAGCCCTAGTGGAATTTGCAAGCCGCACTAATCGGTTGTAGTGAGCGGCTCGAGAAAGCCGCATATTCATGACAACATCGAGATTCAAATTGACTTGGGTTGTAGAGATTTGATAGACAATATCGATTATCAAATCAATATTACTATATCCGGAGAATTTTCTATAAGAAGTGGAAGGAAGAGATTTTTGGATGGCCGGGATGATATCATCTTCACTCGATAAGAGGACATTTAAGAAAACTCGGCTAATTTTTGGGCTATCTTCCTATTATGAGAACTTGATTGGCCCTTCATTGCTATGATCATCCGTTTTGACATAGCACTCTCTCGATTCCATTTTCTTCCTATATATTGTGTCTTAATTTCTTGATCTATTTGGATTTTCTTTTTCCCTCTTTTTCTTTCTTGATCTCTTATAATGAAGATTAATAGTTAGTTTTCTTACATGTATGCATGGTTATATATATATATACATCGGCTTAATTATTCTTTTCTTGGTTTTCAATTTGGTTTTTTTTTCCTCTCTTTTACTTTTTTTTTGGCATGAAGCAAAGTATAGAATTTATTTTTTTCATCTTACAAGTAAGGTATAATTAAATTAATATTCTTCTCCATTAATTTCTACAAAATTTTTTCTCATTCTCAATCTCTTTCTTTTCTTTTAAGAAACAAAGTATATAGGATTAGTAAGTACGTCCTTTTTCTTGGCTTTATTATTATTTTTTTTCAATGAACAAGTGCTAGTAATTGGAGAATATACATGAATGTTTAGTGGGATTTATGATCCAATAAATCTGCTAATAAAACTATGCATTATATATACTAGGATTGCCATGTCAAATGACATTGAATTTATAGGAATTGAATTAAATAATTTTCTTGAATATTATTTTGTAAGAAATAATGAGGCCAACCAATTTTGCGTTTCCGGTCCGAATGGCGATAGATACATATGACTTTTTTTAGAGTTAATTTTGCATCGAAGTGGGGATCATTTCATACCATGATGACTCAAGTTGGAACCTAGATTCATCTTTGTTTACATTTTGATGATGGTATGATATCTTTTTTTTTCCCCTTACTTTTTTTTTAAAATGATCGACAAAGTAAATGTTAGTTACACGCTTGTCTAATTAGGAATGTATATAATTTTTTTTTCATCCCATAAGAAAAAATTATATATATATTTGTTAGGGTGGAAGAATAAAAGAAGAAGATGAGTATAGAATGCACGAGGAGGCGTAAACGTAATGTTAGGCAGAGAGAGGGAGAGAATAAGAATTGTTATAACCGAATAATATTCGACCGGTGTAAAGTACTAAGTCGTTACATATTTATATTTTTTCTTTCAATTTGTTACAACTTACAAACTCTTGCTTCATTCTTATTCTAGAACCCTTACATAACGTACCCACTCATCTTTAAGCGCAACCCATCATTTGACCCATTCCTAAAGTAAACACCTAGCTTATAATACTTCCGTCCACCGAGTCACCCACCCCATCCATTCCTCTCCATATATTCCAGCCCTACTAATTGAGCAACTTTCCCCCAATTTGAATATTTCTTCTCCTCTAATTCTCTGTTTCAATCATCTCATTCTTTGCTTCGATCTCTCTTTGTCTTACCTCCGATTCACTCGTATTAACCACCCCTCCCTCCAAAATGCCCTTGTCCTCAAGGGTAAATGATGAAAACCTACGAGTAATTTCATCCGCGAACTCTCATGTTGCTTCAGCTGGTGACGGATCCTTCTAGTGAATAAGCCATCGGACAACCGCTTTGTTGTGTTTCTTGATGAGGCGTCCGTCTATGATGGCTAAGGGGTATGGGAAAGAGCTGGATGGAAGGTGAGGCAGTCTCTATTGGGTAACTTAGGTTCCATTAGCCTTTTTGAGAAGGTAAACGTGGAAGATTGGGTGAATGGTTGTCGTAGCGGGAGTTTCAACCGATAGG